TGACGGCGGTGCTGTGAGGACTTTACTTCTCTCAGGGCCTCGGCGTACGAGCTCATGTCGGTGAGAATGACCAGCACGTGCTTTTCACACTGGTAGGCCAGGAACTCAGCAGTGGTGAGGGCCAGGCGCGGGGTGATGATGCGCTCGATTCTGCAGTCAACAGGCACAGCTTGAGTGGGTATTTCCAGCTGAGAAGGGCATGCTGCAAGCTTTACTGTCTTCTATCCCCCAAGCCAGGAGAGCCACTCCCCTGGAGGGCCGCTGTCCAGCAGCTCGTATAGGTCTCTTTAAATCTCCTGCTCCGAGGACACTTCAGCTTGATCAGTTAACCGAATAATGAGTTCAATTTGGTCATTAAGGGCTCAAGCAGAAAGAAAACCTGGACTGGAGTTGAGAACTCCTGCCCTAAGCAGACAATTGGAAATAAACATGTACAGTGCAGAAAATATGAGGCAGTGCAGTTTACATTAACTCCAGGGGTGGGCAATCCTGATCCTGGAAGGCCGATATGTCTGCAGGTTTTCATTCCTACTCTGCTCTTAAAGAGCTAAAGCAGCTCATAAGCTCCTGAACTGGATCGATTTCACAGCTTCTCCCACCTCTTCAGGTGCTGCTGCTTTGATGAGACCTAGAAAAGACACAGCAGCCCCCCAGCACCAGGACTGGACGCCCCTGATACAGACACAAGCCATGTGCACGTCACCCTGCCCTTGAGATCACACAGAGCTTTTACTTACTGCCCATTCACGCCACACATGTGCATCACAGCCTGACTGAGAGAACAGCTACAGAAGGTGAACCTGTGCTGAACAAGCACGTCATCAGGCCCCAGAGGATGTGACCACAGCCACTGAGAGACTAGCAGCTCCAAACCCACAGGGCCCTTCGCTCCTGATCTCTTTGTAACTGTTCACTACAGAACCTCTCTGGGTAACACACCGGGAGTATCTATCTCCGTGCTTGAGCCATGCAGAGGCTGTGGTCTGTCATTGTAAATGATCCTTTTATGTAACTAAACTATTTGCGGAATTGGAGGTACTTCAGCCCTTGCCCACGTTACAATACAAGATGCGCTTTGCGGAAACAGGGATGGCGCTCCCCCATCTGACATCATAGCTCCGACCCCAGGGACGCTTCGGCCAGGCTGGGAGTCTCCGAGACAGAGCGAGGGGAGCCCAGAGAGAGCACTCACGTGGGGTCGTTGGCAAGGTTCAGGAAGAGGCAGACGTTGTCCATGGACCCATTCTCCTCGAAGTCGGACTTGAAGAAGCGTGCTGTTTCCATGTTCACCTGCCAGGGCCAGGGAGCGCAGGGGTCAAGAGTGAGCGGAGACACGGCCGAGGGCAGCAGGCAGTGCAGCCCGTCATGCAAAGCTCTGTGGGTGTCAGTACAGCTCTCAGCCTGTGCTATAGAGACTGAAGCACTAAAAGCCTTAAAGAAACAACATGGTGAAGCTCTGAGATGTTAAGTCAGCTTTGAATTGAACCCTTCTGATGGGATCTAGGACTATGAATACATGAGGAAAATTGTGATTGTTTCTGTGCTTCTTCATTAGTAAAAGTAATGGCTTGCAGGCTAATGCAGGAGCAGTGTACTGCACCTGGCTGGGAGGCACTGCGGACCTCAAGCCTCTGTTCGCTGCACCGGCAGCAGTCTGAGGCCAGTGCTCAGCTGTGAACCCGAGGCTTTCTCAGGGCTGAGCCTGCAGCAGCCGGAGCAGCTGGAGCAGCTGGTGCAGCCGGAGCAGCCAGAGCAGCTGGAGCAGCTGGAGCAACCACAGCAGCTGGTGCAGCCGGAGCAGCTGCAGCAGCCAGAGCAGTGCACTCACCCCCATGGCTGCAAAGACGATGGCGAAGTTGTCCTCGTGGTGATCCATCACACTCTTGTGCTGCTGCACCAGGCCAGCCTGCCTGCAGATCTGGGCTGCAATCTGGGCGCAGGGTTAGAGCAGGTCAGTCTCCACTCTCAGCATGCCTGCATGCCACTTATCAGATACTTGTCAGAAAAAAAGAACTGCTACAAGTGCATACACATTTGAAATGCACAGACACTCGCTGTGTAACAGGCATTGCTGTGCTTGATGGTTGCATACCCTGTGGTGACATGGTGGTGGCTGAGGGTATCAAGATCCATTTCTCACTGAGAAGAGTCCGAGCCCCAGTGCCACGCCCCCCACCTGAAGGAACCCCCCAGCCTCTCAATCTGTTTCCCAGCCACTCACTGTCACTATCAGACCAAACCGCAGACTCGACCACGGCCAGACTCATTCCAACAAAAGATCCTGGCATGCACACACTAAACTAGAAAGGGAACTGACCAGGGTTTCTTCAAAACCAAAAACCAGATGAGACGGGTGGAAATCACAAGGAAGGGCATTTGAAAAAGAGAACAGGATGCACTTCTTTACTCTGAAGCAGGGGGTCCCAGCCTTTTTTGTCAGCTGAACCCCTTCAACCTAAATTATTTGCCTCAAGTACCCCCCTTGAGGTTTTAACTAAATCAGACTTTTCAATGAATATAGATAAATGCTACAGCAACCCTCTTAACATGCTTCTTTTCATTTGGTAAAATATTAATACTATATACTACTGTTGTTTTCTTATTCTTATTATTACATTGTTATTTATTAATAGGACTATTCCATTTGACATTGACATTTCCATCACACTCCCACGAACCCCCTGCTCTAAAGGATGAAAGAGAGTGGAACAAGCTACTCAGCAGTGCTGTTGAAGCTGATACCCTGGCTTCTTTCATGAGGTAAGATACTGGTAATGAGAGTGGGATCAAGGAATTTTTCATTTTCTTAAGTCTGCATTGAGGTTTTGAGGCATCAGCTGGTATTCTGCAGAACATGGGAGGGATCAGAGGAGATACTCACAGCTAGTCTCAAGATGCTCCTAATGCAAGCAGTTCAAGTGGCTGCGCTACCAACATGGAGCACTAAGTCAGGCCAATTAGCTACTAACTACAAACCAGGCGAGATGAGCCAGATGGTTCGTAACCTTTCTCATGAAGTCATCTGCCCGGAGCTGTACCCCTGGTCTCAGTGTGCCTGCTCCTCACCTCGTTGTGTGGCAGCCCTGCCGCAGAGAAGATGGGTATCTTCTGTCCGCGTGCGATGCTGTTCATGGCATCGATGGGCGAGAGTCCGGTCTGGATCATCTCCTCGGGGTAGATCCGCATCTGGGGGTTAATGGGCTGGCCTGCAGTGGAGAGAGGGGTGAGCCGCACACCAGGCCCGTTCGGAGAAACCTGCTTCTTGTCACAGATCCAGCTCTTAAACTGAAGTCAATCCAGAGTACTGCAGCATCAGAATACAGCAGAGAGGAGCTGTTGGCATTACAGGGAGTTTTGTGGAGTCTCATGAATTAGCACTGTGGGATCTGTGCTTGAAAACCACTAGGACTGAAAGACCTTTAAGGTCTGAAAGAAAACCGAACCCAGCCTGAGTAGAGATAGAGAGTACAGCCATGTAGAAGGAGCCAAGGAGCCAAAGTAATTAACTGCTGAGCAATTCAAAGTACGACACTGGTGCCCCAGTCAAGTGAAGACCACTGATAAGACTCCCATTATTAAGCAGTGTGAAACATCTCAAGCTGTATTAACTGCAGGCTCTTGATAATCGGCAGGTCTTCAAAACGCCATCTTTACTACATGATGCTGGATAGGTGGTACAATCTGTGTAAGTGCCTGTAGCTGCAATGACCTGCAGCTGATCAAATGGCTGTATTTCTATGTTAATCACAGCTGTGGTGTCAGGGTCAAACTCCCAGTTCTCCAATTGTAAAAGCCCCTTTTATTCAGCCTCAATTGTTACAACTGGGCTGGGACACAGGTCCTTCTCCTGGGTGAAGATCTGCATAGGGCTGGCTGTGTTTGAGCTCAAGCTGTTCTGTGACCTCTGGAGGAAGAAGGTGGCATTGCTGTGGGGGCTCATCGGGACTGACCGAGCTGAGAAAGCAAGTACAACCCTGGAGGTACGATGGCCTGTGAGCCTCTAGATCTCAGAACGGGAGACGACGTCCTGCCCAGAACGTGTCAAACTCCGCTGCATCTGGAGCTCGAAATGCATGGAGCAGAATGAGCGCAGATACACTTTACTCACCATTGATATCGAGGAAATCCTCAGCCGTCACCGCTGGCCCCTTGTCGATGGACTTCCCTGATCCGTTGAAGATACGCCCTGAGAGACAACACACAGCACATCTTACTGCTCCTGCGTTTGAGAGGCTGGAGGTGGGGGAGGTTACAAACGAGAGCAGACCACTTTTCTCATTTAGGTCATATGGCAGCTGGCAGCTAATTGACAGTCTCTTGAAGGAAGCCAGGGTATTGGCTCCAACAACACAGCTGGGCAGCTTGTTCCATACTCCTGCAATCCTTTGCGTAAAAAACCACCGTCTTTAACTCTTTCTTTTTTAAAATTTTTCAGCATAGAATGAACCTTTTCTTACTCTTTCCTTTGTACACTGTACACGTCTGCTCGATACAGCCCACTCCAGTAGCATACATCTCTTACACGCCCTGCCTGCTCACTGACGCAAGTCTCCTTCCTTCACGAAGCTCAGCTGAATGAGAGCTGTGTGCGACGCTCAGGCAGCCTCCTGCTGCTGTTTTCCAGTGGAATGCTCTTCCATCTCTTCCACCCAGCTTACCTGGAATTGTCTTTAAAGGGCAGCTAAGGGTCAGCAGCTTCAGGACTAAGGGATTAGTCCACTGATGCCCTTTACAGCTTCGGGAGCAGAGATTCCTGCTCCACTGCAGCTTCCTGCTCAGACATTTCCTCATCCGATCAATACGGCAGTACCCTTCAGTAAGCTTAATAACCCATTAGAACACGGTCTAGTAGCCGTGGTATCAATAATTCTTACTGTCCGATTTGAACCACCCTGAGATGTCTGAAAAGAACTCCTTCTCCGTGATCCTTCGAACAAGATCACCATCCGCAGGGCCCACCGAGTAGTGCCTCAGCGGCGAGGTTATCGTCATCATGGCCAAGTTGAGCTCTTAGGCAACCCAGGTGCTGTCCATCACCGTGCTGATAATAGAGGCTTTACACAGAATCGTGGAGTATAATGGGGCGACATGATGGCACAGTGGTAAGCATTGCTGGGGTTCAATTCTGGACCTGGGGCGCTCCCCAGGGTCCTGTGGGTTTCCTCCGGACGAGCCCATTTCCTCCCACAGCTGCTGGTGGGTTACTTGGTTTCTGCTCTTGTCTGCCTGCCCTGTGACGAACTGAGTGTGCCCTGCCTTGTGCCTGTTGCTTGCTGGAGCAGATCCGGCTCGCCGTGACCCTGTACTGGCTGGAGCGGAGGAGATGGGTGGGGGGGGTTGTGTATTATCTTTGAGCAGTATTCCACGAGCTATTTTTCCTCATAACTATAGCGCCACCTGTAGGTCACCTTCATCGCCTCACCCCCACCCAAGGTGTATAGGTCGCTCCGGACTGGAGAGACCTGAACAAGTCGTTTAATGTCCGGTTGTTTTTAAACGCTTCTGTTTTGAATAATAAATAATAAGGGACAACAACACACGAACTTCATCAACGCTTGGTACCATCGAACTCATCGAAACAAACCCCCTGTCGCGTGTTTCGCGTGTTTCTGAATTCACTCCATTCGGAGAGCAAACCTGACCGCCCTTGTCTGTGCAGTCAAAGCTGCTGAAGGTGTAGTCGTTGTTTTCTGTGTAAAGCCGTTTATATACAGCAGAATAAGTCTCATTTTCTTCGCCCGTCTAAAGCTCCGTCAGGGACTATATCGCACAATACATACGGGATACCCCAGCTATAAAAAGAACATTCTTAAATGAATGAGAATGGTGTTGTATTCAGCTACTGTACACTAAGGGAAAACACCTGTTGTACAACCAGCCTACTCGTTTGTGTAAAGATGGTGTTAAATGTACATTTATCACAATTACGGTCGAAGTAGCTCTGGCAAACACGGGCTCGTCGACACGGGCTCGATGGAGACCCAACCCGTCTCTTTGGACCCACAAACCCGTCTTGCTGTGGCGTACGGGTCTCTAAACAGTTACGGGCAAGAACTGCTGCCAACTTGAAATTTCCCTCTAA